GGAGTACCATATCGGTAGATAATAAAAACAGGAGTACCATATCGGTAGATAATAAAAACAGGAGTACCAAATCGGTAGATAATAAAAACAGGAGTACCATATCGGTAGATAATAAAAACAGGAGTACCATATCAGTAGATAATAAAGTCTTCTTGCATTGTTTCTACATAACGGGCAATAACTGTAAATAATTATCAAAATCTAAACTGTAAACTGGGAAATTTTTGCCACAATTTTTGTGTCACTTGTCCTCTAAATGAGGGCAAATTTATTGGGGCAGCTTAACTAATAATAAAGAACATACAATGCGTAACGATCCCGTATGATGGGCAAGATTGACACTAGGCAAATAGTGATTTTATAAAAAGTGAAGGGTGAAAGTTCAACAGGGCAAGTTTCCCAGTAAATGGTATGTCTGGTCACAGTCATACAAAAATACATAATGGTATATGTCTAGTCACAGTACTAGTCATACAAATATACATAATGGTATGTCTGGTCACACATACAAATATACATAATGGTTTGTCTGGTCACACATACAAATATACATAATGGTATATGTCTGGTCACAGTACTAGTCATACAAATATACATAATGGTATATGTCTGGTCACAGTCATACAAAAATACATAATGGTATATGTCTGGTCACAGTACTAGTCATACAAATATACATAATGGTATATGTCTGGTCACACATACAAATATACATAATGGTATGTCTGGTCACACATACAAATATACATAATGGTATGTCTTGTGACATATACAAATATACATAATGGTATATGTCTGGTCACACATACAAATATACATAATGGTATATGTCTAGTCACACATACAAATATACATAATGGTATGTCTGGTCATACATACAAATATACATAATGGCATATGTCTGGTCACACATACAAATATACATAATGGTATGTCTGGTCACACATACAAATTTACATATGATTGTGAAAAAAATTCAGATGGAAAGTGAAGGCATTCTAAGTAATTTGTACACACAAGTTTAGATATGATGCTCAAGCATCACAAAAGGCAATAATTATAGGTTAAACAATATACTGTCTAGGTGTGTGATAGAGGCAGGTCCTTATCTGCAAGATGTTCTTCAAGTAAGGGTCTATAGCACCCAGCACTTACAGAACTGGGAAGGCTATTTATCATAGTATCTACATATGTTATATATTGTACTTACGTTCTGGTTTCCAGTATTTTCGGGCGTAGGGGAAGCCATAGTATTTTTTAGCTCGTTTTAGAAATTTCTTTCTGAGTTTGTTCATGTGCTCTTCATCTCCCTGTTTACGTAGACACCTCTCTCGCAGACGTCTCTCATCACGAAGTTCTTTCTGAAAAACATAACAAATACATTTCTAAGTGATTTATATCAGAACAATTCATTACAACTGTTACAATAACGAGGAATAGTTATCAATGATGTTAAGTTCATCCTGTTTCGTTTTTTTATATATTCAAGCATTATCATATTTTTTTTGTTACAAAATTAAAAACAAAAACAAAAAAGATGCCACAATCTCATCGTGTCTCTGTAAGCTTCAATCTTAAGTGTCAATGGGGTCAAAACTATACCAGCATCATGCAAATTGTATGCATGGACCGGACCAGTCAACTTCTATAAAGGTCATCCAGGATTTACCAAAGTATCAACATGTTCAACATATATAACATTAGCTACATTTAATTTACCAATGGGTTTTTGATGGAAGGTTGAGAAATTTATAAATAGGTAAAATAAACATAACACGATATCTTTCCAACAGTGTGATTTTATCAAAAATCATAATTTTCAGATGGGTTTGTAGATCATATGAAGTAACTGAACTCATTCACCCCTACATATTTTAACTGGACTTTCCCAGTCTTTGATTTAGTAAGGTTCAAATGTGACATTAGGGGTGAATAGGCTTAAGCTATAGTAATCTGTATGCTGTTTATTATTACCTCCAACATAGAAATATTGAGCTAACCTGAATCTTTATAGGAATCTTATAAAACAGGTTATGCTACATAAAATGTTTTACTGAGAATAAAAATCCTTTTCAGCTTCTTTACAAACTATATCCGGTCCTAATTTGTCACATCACTGGCTACGAAATATTTGTTTAGCCATCTCAGAGTTTATTACTTTTTTTCCCCTTTGTCTTGACTATGCTCTATAAGTTTACCAGTGTGATATGGAGGCTGTGCGATCTGGGGACATATCACTGGTATACATGTGCCTAGCTGAAATCATCCTCAATATAAGAGTTAGTCTCAATATAGCAGCTGTACATACTCCTTCTATTGGTATCTACTACATTCTTATGTGAACATTTTCACATTATATGTACCATTATAAATGCCTCAAGTTTGACTACATTACATTTTGGGGGGGGAATTGACCGTATTATATTACTTAACTATATTGTAGTCTTTTATGTGTTAAATGGTGAAATAATAAGTAAAAATCTCAATGTCCCTTCTATAAGTTTAAGATTTAATACCAGGTGAGTTGATAGCGTCATTAGATGTAGTTTCATGATGATAATGCTTTTCATAACTATGTAAACAGTACAAGGGTCTAGATGAGGTACCCCAATTTATTTATTTGCACTAACAAAATGTACAATATAATTACCTATACCAACAACATGTTACAGCTTTAATTCCTGTGGCGAATGTGTCCTGTGATGGTTTTTCAATTATGTGAAAAAATGTCATGTTCTCTCTTCATTTGTATTAAAATGTTCACGGCATTGTTTTTTTAATTCTTGCATGTAAATTTTCACACAATTTTTAAGAAGAAGTTATATCGAAATGGCTTTTCATTCTGATGTTGAAAATTTCATATAGTACAGCTTTTCAAATTATTCATTTTGTGGAAGTTTTTATTCTTACAATGCTGTTACATCATATACAAATTTACACTGGTAATGATTATTTTCGCAATGATCTAGCAAGTAACACCTCCGCTCCAAAGTATAAGTGGTGGATCTGTCAATTCTCTCTGGACACAGTTTATCTTATGATGTTCATGACAAGAACAGCAACAACAATGGCCGTGATGATGACAACGATCCAGCAAAAAATCAACAACATTTTCAGGATCTAAAGACAACTTTATCCATGTTCATATGACATTTTTCAGTTGCCATGGTGATGTCCAGCACCAGAAGCTTGTGATTTGCAGCTATTGTTGGCACTTAACAGACACATTGACTGTACTCACATCTGAAAGGCCAATGGACAGGCTGATAACTGAACGAAATCACAGAATAACAGACTCTTGTCTGGCGTTTGTGAACACAACTGGAGTACAATTTCATATTTTAAGTACATCTGTACTAGCTATATAGTTTGAGGCTGAAGTGTACGATTTCATATAAGAGAAACTGAGGCTGCAGGCAAATTTCAAAAAGAGACCCAAAGGGCTTGTATCTTTCACCTGTTATTCAACTCACATCTGTGACTTTTAGAGGGTTTCAAGGCCAAATAGATTTGAATATGATAAATTTCATTACATTAATCTTATGTTAAAAAGATTATAATATAACTTACTTTACTAATGTGAACTTCAAAGTAAGGTAATTGACAGTCCAACTTTTCATAGCAAATTTTTTTTTGGGGCGGGGGNTGACCCCAGCTGTGACCTTGATTATGGGTCAAGGTCACTAAATACAAGGCCGCAGAAAGGGTATTTGTTTTTCTCAAAACAGGTGTTTTTGACACTACGCAGTTTTAAACAGAATTATATGGCAACCGGTAAAAGGTGTTGAAGGCTGAGTGACAACATTAAGAGGTGTTGAAGGCTGAGTAACTACAGTAAGAGGTGTTGTAGGCTGAATAACTACAGTAAGAGGTGTTGCAGGCTGAGTGACTACGGTACGACATGTTGTAGGCTGAGTGACTAGGTACGAGGTGTTGTGGGCTGAGTGACTACAGTAAGAGGTGTTGTGGGCTGAGTGACTAGGTATGAGGTGTTGTAGGCCGAGTGACTACAGTAAGAGTTGTTGTAGGCTGAGTGACTAGGTACGAGGTGTTGTAGGCTGAGTGACTACAGAAAGAGTTGTTGTAGGCTGAGTGACTAGGTATGAGGTGTTGTGGGCTGAGTGACTAGGTACGAGGTGTTGTGGGCTGAGTGACTACAGTAAGAGGTGTTGTAGGCTGAGTGACTATGGTATGAGGTGTTGTAGGCTGAGTGACTAGGTACGAGGTGTTGTAGGCTGCGTGACTACAGTAAGAGGTGTTGTAGGCCGGGAGACTACAGTAAGAGTTGTGGTAGGCAGAGTGACTAGGGACGACATGTTGTGGGCTGAGTGACTACAGTAAGATTTGTTGTAGGCTGAGTGACTAGGTACGTGGTGTTGTAGGCTTAGTGACTACAGTAAGAGTTGTTGTAGGCTGAGTTACTACAGTAAGAGTTGTTGTAGGCTGCGTGACTAGGTACGAGGTGTTGTGGGCTTAGTGACTACAGTAAGAGGTGTTGTAGGCCGAGTGACTACAGGAAGAGTTGTGGTAGACAGAGTGACTAGGGACGACATGTTGTGGGCTGAGTGACTACAGTAAGATTTGTTGTAGGCTGAGTGACTAGGTATGAGGTGTTGTGGGCTGAGTAACTAGGTACGAGGTGTTGTGGGCTGGGTGACTTCAGTAAGAGGTGTTGTAGGCTGAGTGACTAGGGACGACGTGTTGTGGGCTGAGTGACTACAGTAAGAGGTGTTGTAGGCCGAGTGACTACAGTAAGAGTTGTGGTAGACAGAGTGACTAGGTACGACATGTTGTGGGCTGAGTGACTACAGTAAGAGGTGTTGTGGGCTGAGTGACTACAGTAAGAGTTGTTGTAGGCTGAGTTACTACAGTATGAGGTGTTGTAGGCTGAGTGACTACAGTATGAGGTGTTGTAGGCTGAATGACTACAGTAAGAGGCGTTGTGGGCTGAGTGACTACAGTAAGAGTTGTTGTAGGCTGAGTGAATAGGTACGAGGTGTTGTGGGCTGAGTGACTACAGTAAGGGGGGTTGTGGGCTGAGTGACTACAGTAAGAGGTGTTGTGGGCTGAGTGACTACAGTAAGAGTTGTAGGCTGAGTGACTAGGTACGACGTGTTGTGGGCTGAGTGACTAGGTACGAGGTGTTGTGGGCTGAGTAACTACAGTAAGAGGTGTTGTAGGCTAAGTGACTACAGTAAGAGGTTTTGTAGGCTGAGTGACCTCAGTAAGAGGTGTTGTAGGCTGAGTGACTAGGTACGAGGTGTTGTGGGCTGAGTGACTACGGTATGAGGTGTTGTAGGCTGAGAGACTATGGTATGAGGTGTTGTAGGATAAGTGACTACAGTAAGAGGTGTTGTAGGCTTAGAAACTATGGTAAGAGGTGTTGAAGGCTGAGTGACTACAGTAAGGTGTTGTAGGCTTAGAAACTACGGTAAAAGGTGTTGTAAGCTGAGTAACTATGGTAAGAGGTGTTGAAGGCTGAGTGACTATGGAATGAGGTGTTGTAGGCTGAGTGACTACGGTATGATCGAGGTGTTGTAGGCTGAGTGACTACAGTATGAGGTGTTGAAGGCTGAGTGACTACAGTAAGAGGTGTTGTAGGCCGAGTGACTACAGTAAGAGGTGTTGTAGGCTGAGTGACCTCAGTAAGAGGTGTTGTAGGCTGAGTGACTACAGTATGAGGTGTTGTAGGCTGAGTGACTACGGTATGATGTGTTGTAGGCTGAGTGACTACGGTATGATGTGTTGTGGGCTGAGTAACTACAGTAAGAGGTGTTGTAGGCAGAGTGACTACAGTAAGAGGTGTTGTAGGCTGAGTGACTTTGGTATGAGGTGTTGTATGCTGAGTGACTAGGTATGAGGTGTTGTGGGCTGAGTGACTACAGTAAGAGGTGTTGTAGGCTGAGTGACTATAGGTACAAGGTTTTGTGAGCTGAGTGACTACGGTATGAGGTGTTGTAGGCTTACAAGCAATGATGTGCCGCCCCAGTGATACTAAACACCTTTCTTTGTTTGATGTAGTGTATATAACATGTGACTTGTAGATCAAATTCCAGACAATCTGTTTTATTACCTTGCTCTACAGGTAGGCTGAACTAATATAAAATAGGATGGTCTCAAATATGTTGATTTCTTGAATTCTGAACAAGCTGAAAACATGTATGTGTATTAAGGAATTTTTCAACAAGGAAATGTGTTAGCTTTACCTGATTAGAACAAGGTTATTTTCTGTGTTTGTTAAAAGGGAAACGTAGAAAAATACATTTTCACATAAGCCCACAACTAAACCAGTGACCTTTTACCATCAGATTACCAGATATCTAAGTAACGAAAAACTCTGGGTGATACTATCCCTGTTGAA